GCAGGTACTCTAGAAAAGCGTCCATACCATGTGACACTGGAGAACGGAGAATCCAAGAACCCGCAAATCCGCCGAGAGAATAGTATCGATCTGGAGAAATGGAATTTAAGACTACTTCAAGTCTCCCTGTGGATTGATTTTCCACCTTGGCGATCCATTGACAGATATTTAGTCTTTTTTTCGCAAATTCTGCCGTCCTCCAGGTCGATACACAATCTTTCCTTTCGACGGTTTTGCAAGATTGTCAGTATTGCGAGTATGAACACGGCCTGAAAGGATATCAAAAAAGGTCTAACTCACTTCTATTCGTTTTTGGAACTGCCTATTGGAGGCAGGATACAGCATCGTGATGTGAGAAATGGTGATATCAGTACGACTCCCTTCCCAGAACTTTGTTGTTGTTGAGTTGAGTTGAACGTGAACGAATGACCCCCCCACCGGTGTAATTTCACCCACAGTAGCGCCATCGGATCGCGCGATCCTAGTTAGACCTTCGTTAGACTTCGCGATCGCGCGATCGGATCGCGAAGTCTGAACGCCTCTCATTTGTCGATGCCGGATATATCTCCCTGTCACCCCCTCTTCGCCATTTGAAATGGGGAGAACCAAAATCGAACACCGCCCATGCATCAAGTAGCAGTTAAACACGAAGAATGGGCGCTGTCCTAGCATGTGAGCGGAGTCGCGGCCTCGCCGCAAACCGGGTCGCTTTAATCGTGTCTTTTTGAGTGCGAATGTACTATCCTCCGTGCTCGCAGACAGGACATCATGTCCAGGGAAGGCGTCTGCGCATCAGATGAACGCTAAACGCGAATGACCCTTGAGGAGGCCGATCAGTTGTTAATTTCTTGCAGTCTATAAGGCACAAGCCGTGCACTAAGCTTACGTTTTATAGATTGGAAAGACTCAGTTCAAACTGCACTATTGAACTATTCCTACCCCAAAAACTCAAAAAAATTTTTCGCTGAAACGTTGCCTATAGATGTAGTTCGATGCCCTGATCACGAATATCACATTCGTTTTGAGCGCTGGCGCCATTTGGCGCCATTATGCGCCAATTTGGCGCAACCACTTTTTTCACCAAAATCGATGAAAACTTGCATATGGGGGTTAATTGAGGTCCTGATTACGAATCCGACATTTGTTTTTGGCGCTGGCACCATTTGGCGCCAACTTGGCGCCACCATATTTTTTCACCAAAATAGATGAAAACTTGTATGTGTGGGTTAATTGAGGTCCGAATACGACAATGGAATAACCCTTCATCCATGATCGCATCAATAACTTGATATGTGGCCCTGAAGAGGGCCGTTGGGTTAGTGTACGCGAGATGTTGTACCTGTTAGCAAGGGTACAGCGCTGCAACCTGGTTTCCCACATTCCCACGCCCTGACCACTTTCCACCGTAGGGAAAGTCCTCGTTCGTCCACCATTCCCACGGCCGGATCACTTCCTACCGTGGGAAAGTGCCTTCTTTGAAAATCGCTCTCAGAAGCTGTTCGTTTTCTGATGTTGTGTCGACGGCTCTTTGGCGCCAAATGGCGCCAGCGCTCAAAACGAGTGTGATATTCGTGATCAGGATGTCGATTAACCCCCATATACAAGTTTTCACCGACTTTGGTGAAAAAAGTGGTTGCGCCAAATTGGCGCATAATGGCGCCAAATGGCGCCAGCGCTCAAAACGAATGTGATATTCGTGATCAGGGCATCGAACTACATCTATAGGCAACGTTTCAGCGAAAAAATTTTTTTGAGTTTTTGGGGTAGGAATAGTATATAGTAATAGAATAGTCAATAGTGCCCAAACTTTTCAGATTCGCTGGATCCATTTAGTACATTTATTTGCAGCTACGTTTCTTTCTTCGGTTTTCTGGTTTAGTAATTGGCATCAAACACCTCTTATAGGCTGTATTGTGAAAATGGCTTCCATCTGTCTTGTAATTCGTTTCGAGTGAAGGAATCACATGCACTAGGAAGCCTAGGCCTGAGCTAATCCTTGTTTGTGAGGGATCAATTCTCTGGGAAAAGAAATGCCGCAACGAAGCTCTCAGTTCCTGTCTTGATTCTTTTCGAGAATACTCGTTGGGATTTAACGCTTACATTCCTGTTAATGAACACGCCGCTGTTGTTTATCGCTCGATGGTTCTGAAACGTTTGTCGGGGCAGTTCGGCGATGAGGGGGAGGGGGCACTTTCCACTATTGACACTTCTCACTGACGTATCGACATTTTGAAGGAACAGTTTCATGAGCTTACAAGTGTGAACAGGTTTTACCATGGTGGCTGCACGAGCTCACACCTGTCAAGAGTTCATAGGTTCACCACAGTGGGACTTGTAAGCGGAGAATGCACCCCCCCGCTCGCTCGCCGAACTGCGCCTGTTTCGTTTTGCAGGACCTCAATCATTAGGTATTACTACGATGCTGCAGTATTGCCTACGAATTTTGCTAATGTGGAGAAGCGCGTTATTCACGTTCGATTGAGATTCGCGAACTCTCCACATTCGGGAAGTACAGAGCGATTTAGTATTCAACTTGAAAGTTTTACTGCGTTTTTAGTAATCTTCTTCCATCTTTCGACTTCCATTTGCTGCATTTTGGAAGTTGTTATATTTGCTCGCATTTAGTCGCTGGAGAGACAGGAGGTCGTATTTGCCTCCGACAGGAATTTGTATGTTTCAAATTTACTCCAATTGTTGACTTTTCGAGGTTTCCCGTTTCACCCTGGTGATATATACCCCTATATAACCCTCTCCACCGCTCGACGACAGAAAGCTCGGAAACTTAATTTTGCGTGGAAAATTAGGCAAGAAAGGCAAGATGGAAGGAGCAGGGGGGGGAGGTCGCAGCACAGGGCGAAATTGAAGGGGTCGTGGTTTCCGGAAATTTTCCCCAGCGGCAGGAAGTGCCGCCTTGGTCGTTAGTGCCCTGCTCCTTGAATAAGGCCTTCTTCCCATTGCAAGAAACAAAGGAACGGAAACTCATGCTGTAGTTCCTGAGAGCACTTACGTGACTTTTTTGTTTCTTTTAGCGATTATGACCTTATGAAGTGCCTTTCCGACTTCGCGCGTACGAAGTCATTATTTCTTTCGCAAATTCCTCATCACAAGATTCGATTTCGCTGTTCAGGAAAGGTGATTTTATGTCTGCGTTTTCTTGATATCACTTGGTGACTGATTCATGTCACCAGCACTGCCATGATTGTGCGACTGGATCCCTGTGGCTTAGTATGTGTTGTTATGATATATGGATGCGTGTTCTATGCGGATTATGTCGTTACGGTATGGATGGTCATGCCGGTATTCGGAAATTCGTAAGTTTTTTTTTCTCAGTAAAGCATCTTGTATAAGTTACTTCTTCTTTTTTTGTGACGAGACCTGGGAGACCCAAACCACACTGCCGTTCAACTCATTTTAATCAACCCACAGGCTTCCAACTCTCCGCAAACCGTGTCTGATTCTTTTGGGCTTTCTATTAATCCTCGTTTATACACAAATCCGCGGAATCCGCACAATGCACGGACTTTGCGGGAAAAGGATAGTTACGCATCTATTTGTAGAGTCCGTGGAATCTGAAGAAATGCATAGATAGGCGATAAACAATCAACTTCTATCGTGTCTTCTTTGGCTTTCGATTCTCCGGATTCCGTGCATTCTGGGGATTCCGCGGAGTCTTTGGATCGATACGTATGCATTTTTTTCCACGGATTGCGCGGATTCTTCGGAAAGAATGGGTATGAATGCAGCCTATATTCCCTCTATTTATCTTATTTGATTTATTTCTTTTTCTGTCTGCAACATACTGCCTCTCTCTCTACTTGTTTGAATCTCCCTTCTCTGTGCGGTTTTTTGTCTTAAATTTCTTTTTTGTCTACTTCTAGTGCCATTTTACACTAATAAGCACGTTCACCAATGCCCTTATGTGGTCCATTGGTCCATTTCAAGACAAGGTTCCTTGGAAGCGTAGCGATTCTCCCGGTCAGGTCATCCAGCAGCAGCGGGTTTTCTTGACTGGATCAGATCATTAAGGTATCTTCAATATGAACGAGGAACCTGTGAAGAATCTGCAAATCTTTACCGTCCCCACGATGACATACACTACTTGATGGTTGATGGTGACCTGGCCGATCGGGAGACTTCACACGACTCCCGATATCCTTGATTCAGTCCCCCACTTAACCTCGATCCCTTGCTCTCTATCTCTTTCAAACTCCGACAGTTGACCTAGGCTGTTCTTCCCCTTTTTTACAATAGGAGATCGCTTCATTTCGCTCTTTTCCTCTGCCTTTTTTAATACATTCACTAGGTTCTCTGCGAATTTCTAGATATTTCTGTTGCTTTTCATTTCTACGAAAACATTCAAATTTCCCGTTTTTTTCTCTCTCTCTCTGCCTATATAACCACTCTAGTACTCTTTGGCACCTCTTGTGGCTTCTCCTCTGTCTTCTCCTTTTCAGACCACCATATTGCTTGCAGTGCTAGTTTTCGTGTTGAAGCTTTACCCTTGCGCTCGCGTTCCACACCGTGCTCTTTCGTCAGTTCCCTTGTGAACGAGAACAAGGACTGCAGGGGGGGGGCAAAAAAGTCACTTCGACCGAGTCACATATCAGCAAAGTTTTCGCTGCCCAGACAGAGGACGTGGATACGAGTACCAGGGCGGAAGATACCCAAGATGTTCCTCTATAAGCAGGAGCTGGCTCTCGCCCATCACCTTCATGTACACCAAAATATGAAGTCATCTCCAGTCGCAGCCTGACTGGAGAAGACCTTTGTCACCTCCAAACAGCTGCGAAACTTCTAGTATGGAGTCACCCATGGATAGCTACCTGGAGACCAGTACTCTCGATCTGGAAGACCTCCAACATCGAGCAGCTCCGACAACGTCGCTACGGTCTAGGACATCATCTTCACCTCAGTCGCCAAGGCGCCAGTTGATGGTGGGGACCGGACGTACCTGGAATGGAGAGACCGATATTTTCTTCGTGGGCCCCGGACTGAAGGTGAGCGCTGGCGGTTACATCGAGCAACTCGAGAAGAATATCCTCCCCACATGTCGTCGCCCGTACCTTCTTGGAAACTTTGTACTGCGGTGACACCACATGGAATCGAAGGGCGTTGGAAAAACTCTTGCCTACTTGGAATGGAAGGGCGTTGAGTACCTGAAGAAGGTGGAATATCTAAGCAGGTCACCTGACCTAAACCCCTCAATTACCTGGTTCGGGCGGAGTTCAATAGGGTGGTCTACGGTGGCGGAGAAATCGACTATCTCGCTGATCTCAGGCACCACATCGCGGTCGCGTGCCAGAATCTCTCGTCCAGAAGGCTGTGGCGGAGTGTCATGATAGTATTTGATATGCTCTTTAATATGGTGGTAAAAATGTCCGATCAGAATTTAATAAAGTGTAACTTATAGCGCCTCGAAAGTCAATGAAGAAAAGTGACTTTTTTGCCCCCCCCCCTGTAGTAGGGAATAATTTTCGTATTAGGAATACGCGAACATCTTAATTGGTACTCCGTCTGCAAAAAAGGTTTCTATTGATTACTTGCTATCAATTTCGCCAACTGCACCTGTTCCGAAAGATGACCTTATTTTAAAGTGAACAGGAAGAACGGGTGTATTTCAGTTGAGATGTACACGTAGACGAGTGACATCATTGCTATCGGATTGGATATAGCGGAGTTACTGAAAAACTCAACTCGTACTTCTTATTTTCCAATTTTTCAGCATCTGGGGCGCATTTCATATCGCCTTATTCAATACTCTGATATTTATGACACTTTTTTCCCATGGTCGAACCATGTTGACAGATCCAGGAGTAGTTCCTATCCTAAAAAATGGGTGAGATTATTTTGGTTAATTGTTTTTACATTTTGAACGTCGTATGCATTGATTTCACTACGTGTTTTGCAGGTATTTTTCATTTTTGATAATCGCGCGTGAAACAGGTCAAGTTGCGTTCCACTCCTCTCCCGGCGTTATAGTACTAGGTCATCCCTTTCAAAAACGTGGAAAGTTTTCTTCATATAAACAGGAAAAGATGAAAAGTAATATTTTAAGTTAAAGTTAAGCAGATCCCTCTTTTATCAACGACCCGCTCCCAGTGCCCCAAGAGCGTTTGAACTACTGCCACCTTCGTTTCTTGCAACTGCGAGAAAATTAGTTAGTTTCAGCAATCGACAAATTGTCTTAACGTTTGCCGTTGAACAGTACCTTCTACTGACTAGAATAGTTGTAATTGCACCGTTGTAGGTTGGGCGAATAAGGTGTTTGAACTCAGCTTTCAGTATTGTTTGTGTCCCGAGCACTGCCCAAAATACGCTTACTCGGGGCGCGGCATTGTGACGAGCAATGGTGGCCTTCTTGTAGTTGTGCGGTTCTATCCATTTGTCGATCTTGCCCACCAAAGACATGCAATAGACACCGACAGCGATGGTTTTCTTCTCTGTATAAAGCCGCTCGGAAGTCACAGTATTGCAATGGAATCTATTGCCATAATGATTTGCTAGTTTCGGCTCGGAATTCAAAACCACCCGTATTTTGCCTAAGGTCACGGGGCGTTTTCAGTCTTGAATGGCGTGTTAAGGAGATGGACATCGCTGCTACAGGCATCAAATCGGTTGCTTCGTGCTTCTACAAGAAAACGAGTACCCGAACACAACCCTCTTGACCATCTTCAATTTTTCATGCGTAATTCGGCTAGCGTTTGTAGCAGGAATGTCTGTCCCGTGGGGAAGCTCGACAAAGATCCAGTTTCTGTAATCAGACATTCGACGTTTGATTTCATCCACTCGCTTTTCTTGTGAAGGATGAACATTATGAGGCCTCCTCGACCACAACTTTTTTTTCGCTTTTTTATTTGGACTTCTGAACCTAATCTTCCACATTCCATTTCGCCAACAGTATTATACGCAACTACTGGTCCGGTACAAAATCAAAGCAGCGCACTTTCCTTGTATGACGCCCGATTCCATAATCCGACGTTGACCAGTCGGATTTCTTTCTAATTTCTCGAGACCTTCTTCTATTGTTAGGTTAGCCAAATTAAAAATGCGTAGCTAAAGGTACTAGCTTTCGACATAGAGCCCGCAGCAATAGACCCTTTGCTTTTCTGCCATTCCTCTATATGCCGCCACGTTTTTGAATGGTCTGCCTTAAAAATAAGTTGACGCGGGATGGGATGACCACAAGAAGTTAATTATTCGAAAATAATAGCTTAAATTACTGAAAGCAACTGTTCTAAGACCTCGAAAATAAGTTGACGTGGTGTCGTAATAACCGCGCGTGCGAACACTAACTGGGTGCTGTATGTTGGAAACAGTCGTTACTTTCAAAAAACGAGCTGATTATCTGAGAACATCTTCAACAATGTGATCATAAAAACAAACAGAGAAGGTGAAGAGGTCGAACAGCTGACAAGAGATTGGATAAGAAAATGCTTGGAGCGAGCAATAGGAGTGCGTTCATAGTTTGCGTTAGCGTTTCGAGCGACTGCAGCCTTTTGAAAGCTTTGAGCATATGTCAGCGGTTCGAGCGACTAGTGAGGGCTCTGTTGGTTACCACTGAAAACGCCAAGACGCTCAAAACGTTGGTAGACGCTAAAAATGCTGGATCGATAACCTATATTTTTCTAGTCGTTCAGAAGGCTGCCGCTAAGTGTGACCGCTCGTCAAGAGAAGGCTCCACAGTGAACGTTCAACATACAGGGGGGGGGCAAAAAAAGTCACTTCGACCGAGTCACATATCAGCAAAGTTTTCGCAGCCCAGACAGAGGACGTGGATACGAGTACCAGGGCGGAAGATACCCAAGATGTTCCTCGATAAGCAGGAGCTGGCTCTCGCCCATCACCTTCATGTACACCAAAATATGAAGTCATCTCCAGTCGCAACCTGACTGGAGAAGACCTTCGGAATTCATGTCACCTCCAAACAGCTGCGAACTTCTAGTATGGAGTCACCCATGGATAGCTACCTGGAGACCAGTACTCTCGATCTGGAAGACCTCCAACATCGAGCAGCTCCGACAACGTCGCTACGGTCTAGGACATCATCTTCACCGTAGTCGCCAAGGCGCGAGTTGATGGTATGGACCGGACGTACCTGAAAGGGAAGACCGATATTTTCTTCGTGGACCCGGACTGAAGGTGAGCGCTGGCGGTTACATCGAGCAGCTCGAGAAGAATATCCTCCCCAAATGTCGTCGTCCGTACCTTCTTGGAAATTTGCCACCTTCCCGGAAAATGGTGCCACCACATGGAATCAAAGGGCGTTGGAAAAACTCTCGCCTACTTGGAATGGAAGGGCGTTGAGTACCTGAAGAAGATGGAATATTTAAGTATGTCCCCTGACCTAAACTCTCTCAATTACCGAGTTCGGGCGGAGCTCAACAAGGTGGTCTGCAGTGGCCGAGAAATCAGCTATCTCGCTGAAGCCAGGTACCGAATCACGGTTGCGTGGCAGAATCTCTCGATGGCGCTCCTCCAGAAGGCTGTGGCGGAGTGTCATGATAGTATTTAATATGCTCTTTAATATGGTGGTAGAAATGTCCGATCAGAATTAATAAAGTGTAACTTATAGCGCCTCGAAAGTCAATGAAGGAAAGTGACTTTTCCCCTCCCCCCTGTAGTAGATAAAAACAGCTTAAAATTCATTAATCATAGATCCATCTTTATTTGTTCATGAGTAGAACGAAAAAGAAAATCAAAACGTAATCAAAGTGAAATTACCATCCGGGCACGTTCACATTTTGCTGCACTGGAGAATAAGATAGTCGAAGAACATGACTCTCCTATTCTTCGATGTTGTCCTCCATCGAACTTTACTTACATTCCTTTTTTCCTATTTTCAAGTTCATAATTCCTTTCCTGAGTAACACCTTCGCATCTCTATTTGTCCCTTCACAATTTTCCATCAACCTTCCTGTTTGTCTTTATGATCACATCTGCATGTCCATCCGAAGTTGTCTTTCTTGAAATTGAGAGTAACGATTGGTTATGAAATGTGATTGTTATTCTCACTCTCAGAAAGAATAACTCGAAATTACAAGTTTTCAACATACAACGCGTTCACCCGCTCGTGCTTATGGCGCTTATATTTTTTTTGTTGGCACATTATTTCCGTTGCAGTGTGTTCCACGACAGGTCAGCACACGTGGGTTCGATGTCTTCTTCATCTGAAGACGACGCGAGCGATCGTGAAGCGATGATGTTGAGAAGTCGCAATGGAGCCGTGGTGAGTTTTTGTCGTCTTGTATGTTTTTCCTTAGTATTTTCAACGCCATAGGTTGCAAAGAGAGGTGAAGGATCGCAATAGGCGTTGTTGGTGTCTTTGACACCTCCTTCAATTCCAAGCATTAATTTCTTTTCCTCGTGAATTTCATGGTCCATTATGAGGATAAGAATCCTCTGCCGTAAGGGTATAAAGAAGAGTTACGTGCTAAGGTTCTCCAGTGGTTGTGCTGAGAGCGACCGCCTTTTGCAAGAAGCATCAGTCTTCCTACGCTCACTACAAAACCAGCTAAACAAGAGGACTCGTTAGCGCTTTCCCTTATCCTTGAAACATGAGCGAAACGTAACTGGCAGAAGTTGGTAAGAAGAACAGAGTGGTTCAGTGAGATGGAGTAAACAATAACCGGAGCTACATTTGAGCTTCGACAGTTCAAAGTATTCCCCGACACTGTGACAATAAGTATTTTTGTGAGCACCAGTGTTGAATTTGGGAAGTTTCATGTGACTCATCATTAAATGCTCGCTACTTGGACTCATGGCTGCGTGTGAGTGCACCCGATAAAACTCGAGGGGTGGAAGGAGGAATGCAGCCCGCCATTCATTTACCAACATCTTAGTGCTGCTATATTTATACTCTTCCCATCTGAATCCCTGATATGTACCGCTGGTTTTCGGAACTTGTTATTTGCGATCTTTCGCGTGCAGTACCCTATTTTCTTGGGATAAGGCACAACTATTTGCACGGTCGCGTCAATGCGCCAAAAAGTTTTTGATTAGGGGAACAGCTTTGTCATTTTTTTCGCACTGCAATCTTTTGATTATCTTTTAGCCCTTATAATTCACTATGCGTCCCTACATTTTTTGAGTTGAACTTTTAAGTATGGTTAATATTAGGTTGTAAAAAGACTTCGCGGTTTATTCGTCTATATTTGAGCAAACATTCTTTATTATCTTTGACCCTTTGTCATTTATCTAGTAATGGTATTTCACAACTCCATTGGTATGGAACTCCTGTGGTTTATCGGCGGAAAACTTGGTCAAGTGATTTTCAGCGGCGCTTCGATCGGCTGATTTCTTGCGATAAAGGAAGTTTTGTAGAGATCGAAACAAGTGATGGAGACGTTACAAGGTCCGGGCTGAATGGTTGGATGCTCCCCAACCAGTTCCGTTAATTTGTTCTGAGTTATCAAAGATGTGTATGGCCGCGCATTGTCTTGATGAAAGACAACCCCCTTCCTGTTTG